AGGTGTACCCATCGCCTGTTTTTATTTGTAATAAAATAAACTCTACCTGTTTTTCTAGAGTATGTACGTATGTATGGATGTTTTTTTTTTGTTGGCACGCTCTGTAGCCTAAATGGGTTGATGGATTTTAACATATTATGGAGTGTCGTTAGATCCGTCTTAGTTGTGAAAGTGACATAAGGTATAAATTTTTTGTCTTTTCAGTAAACTTTTTTACATACATAAACACTCACGCCTGTCACCCAGAGGGGTAGGCAGAGACTACGGACTTCCATTTGGTGCGATAATGACACACCTCTCTCGCCTCTTTTACATCCATATATCTACGCATACACGCTCGTCGGTTAAGGGTAGTCCTAATCTGGCCCATTTTTAATGTATCGCCGATTTGGTCGATAAACCTTCGTCTAGGACGTCACTTCCCGACCCTGCCGTTCACTTAAACTTTTTTATTACTGTTTTAACCGTTATGCTTAGGATTTAAATTATTATTGTTGTTTTTTAACCTAATTATAACAGAATAGGTATAATCTTTAAATATGGAGAAACACCTTTATAGGTGGTATGAGTACTACCCCACATCAACTCGTTATTGGTGAGAGGCGACACGGGGAAATAAAACAAGAGCGAGGTTGCAGCAGGTTACCACACAAAAATGATAAAACACTGCAGTTACCAACCCGCCTGCCAAGCCCACCAATTATGGCAAATATCCCGTCTATAAGGCAATATATGGAGAAAATCTATGTTGTTTCATTTTCTACTAATCTACTAATAATGAATAAATGGAGAGTGTGACATATTGAAATAAAAGTACTCAAAAAAAACACATTCGAAATGTACTTTTGGCACAGACATTACTGTTTTTATATCAGCCATAAAATATTTGTTATGACGTAAACATTCATGTCAATTTTATTGCTGTAATATTTTAAAAAGAAACATTTCAAATTTATAGTTCGACGAATAATTTTTTGTCGTGATATAGTAGCGTATATATCAACCATTTATTCGCAGAGACAGCAAAAGCCGTTGCATATTTTGTATTGTGAATATTAAACATGGCGTGTGATAGCGACATAAGAGAATACATCACACCATTCCATTTCGTGTGTATCGCTTGCGTGTTCTAAGGTAGGCTTTTTTCGATTTCAGTTGTTAGCGAATAGTAGTACAGACATCTCACTTACACTAAACGTAAAATACGCAGACCGACGACGGAAAACATCAAAGATACTAAACATCTGGTACAGTGGTTATCAATCCGCAATGCGTGACGATTAAGGGAAATCCTTCAACGAGCGAAACCCAAGTCCAGCCGTGGAATTTAGACGGCTTAGTGAACGATTGATACAAAAGGAGAATATATCAGCAGAACAATAAATAAATGTTTTGTTTAAGCCTTGGTAACATTGGGGCTAAGAGCTCACCGTAAATTTCGTAGTACTTACACTTACAGTTATATAAAATTATAACCAGTTGATTAATCATATGTTTGTTTCAGAAAAAAAAATCATTGTCATGTATAGTCCTCTAATATGAGTTTAAGCAGTTAGGCAAGTTAATTGTTCCATAATATTTCGCGAAAATGAAAGGAAGCATGTGACCTGCTGGACATTTAAAGAAGTTATTATAATAGCTTTCAAAACTGCGGAGCGTCCGTGTATGTCCGTTTCCAAACTATTTCAAAAATAGATTAGAATAGAATAATTTTTCTTCAATATAGATAACAAGAATACTTATTAAAAGTAACTTTTTACTTTTACCACTGGTTCAGAAAAACCTATGTCCTGGGAGGAACCAGAAAGAAAACCTGCGGGACTTTTTTTTAAATAAAATTAATTTACAAAAATATTTATGAAGATATTAGAAACAGCGTGGTAGGGATCACCTCATTCCCAGAGGTTGTTATCAATTATGTACTCTTTAGTAGTATAATAAGCAAGTTTTGCTTAATAAAACTTTTGAACTTTTGATGGATAAGACCTGCATAATTTCAAGGACTTTGTTTTAAAAGCGTATACATTGCCCCTTATGCTTGTAGCTACTATTTACAGAATGTATAATATGTATATCTTGACGTGTTTGGCGCTGAGCTATTCCCATCGATGTAAAGTAATGTCTCATCATCATTACTGCCTTTCACAAGTCTACTGCTTAGCATAGACCTCCCTCGAGGAATACCATAAAATACAGTTATATTTAAAGTATATTTACAGCCTTTTTTATAGGATAGGGTGACAAACGAGCACACAGTCCACCAGATGGTAAGCGGTTGCTGTGACCCATAGACATCTACATTTATCTTCGTTTGCGAATCAAAATGCAGATGCGTTGTCACCCATGAGGACTAAGATGGAATGCCTCTTTTCCAGTAAAAAGGTTCTCCGATTCTCTACACTCACCATACGAAACACAGCAGTGTCAAGCTGCTATTTTACTCTGGTATCCTGTGAGAGCGTGGTCCTTCCTCGCTCGAGCCGACCCATTCGTGCTACAACTATACTACTAATATAGCTGCAGCATGGCTCTACCACGTATAAATGTTATGTTCCATATATATCCACTACGTGGCACAGGCCTTTTATAATTTCTGAGAAGTATGCTTCACAAATCTTTAATATCAATTTAAAAGACCGCTTTAGATATGAGCCACTGCAGAGTGTATATTTCTCCTGATGATGCCTCGATTAGAAGCAAAACACGTATCGTATTATAAGCGACACCACAGTTTTCAAGGTGTAGTTGTATTGGGTGTAGCAGCCTCGAGGTAGTGGTGACTGCAAAATAGTGTGATAGTGCTTGCAATTAAGAAATAGCGGGAGGTGCTCTTTAATATAGGAAAGACATATTTTTTTTTACAGGAAACTTAAATAATAATTAAAACTAATTTAAACTCATTTAGTTTGGATTTCCACAAAGTAATGCCTGATGCTAATAATAATCAGAACACCTGTATTTTACAATTTTTTAGCATTACATAAAAATCACACATATCACTCAATAATAATTGTCTTAGGGTCAGAAATAAGGTCGACGAAGATATGTTTGGATATGTTAATTAAAATAACATATCTAAAGTAATTAAACCAAATGGGTACCGACCGCAAAATACAATTACTCTCTACCGAGAAGTACTGACGGTTATTGTCTAATTCTGTTAAGTTAAATAATCTTGTCATTTGCAGTGTTTTCTAAAGGCTTGCAATTAAGGCCGTCTTGAATTACGGTTAATATAAAAACGTTTCCTACACTTTACGGACCCAAGTAAACAACCGATATTTAAACGGTGAATCCCACCATCACCCTTCACAGCTACCGTGGGCAAATCTTTGTTACAGAGAGCACGAGGGATCTGTGACAGCAAAGACCTGGCCGCCAAGCTTCAGCACGTCAAGCAGGTTCTGTACGACAACAAGCTTCGGGTTCCGCGCCTACGTCACAGTGACTGAGTGAAGCCGGCCACAGTCGAGCGTGTGCCTGCTGTACTACCGTATGTCAGAGGTGTCACAGACAAGATTGGCTACATCTTGAAGCGAGCTTATATTAGAACATTCTTCAAGCCGCCGAAGAAGATAAGTCAGTTCTTACCATCCGTCAAGTGCTTTATTCCTCTACAAGATGCAGGAGTGTACAAGCTTGATTATGAGTGTGGTCTCTCATATATAGGGCAAACAAAACGATCTATAAAAACCCGCGTAAAAGAACACATAGCTGACGTGAAGCATCAATGTTCCGGGAAGTCTGCAGTTTGTGATCATATCCTAGACGGCCCCCGCCATTACATTAGATTTGATAAACCACAAATTCTCGCGAAAGAACATCGATTCCTTCCAAGGATGATACGTGAGGCTATTGAAATTAAAAAACATCCTAATTTCAATAGAGAGGGAGGCTGGGTACTACCACCTGCTTGGGCTCCTGTAATTCATAAAATTAAAACTAAACCCAAGCATACCACTGCAAGACTTCAAGACACAGTTAGTTCATTCTGCGTAGATCGGACCAAAATCATTAATTAAAAAAGCTGAAGGTACTCCGGTTTAACACTGACATCAGGACGTCAATCACCTCAGTCCCCCGTGACCACGGTTGCTGGAAAGCAACCGAAACGTCGGGAATATAAAATAAGTTAACTAAACGCGATAAAATCCGTAAAAATAGTTTTATTCAATGTGTAGTGTTCGCGTAAATATAAGAAATCATTATGTAAACCAGTACGGACTGGAGATAGCAAATAAAATACGCCGACTAGAAGATCTCAAAACCAAGGGCGCAAGATCGTAACATCTCTAAATTTCTTGAAGAGATGTCGAGATCATGGTCTCATTCCTACGTGTGTCAAGATATCTACTAAAAAAGACATTCGAGGAAGCGCTAAGATCTTAAATCAGGCAAGCAAAAAGTTGTTAATAACGGTGATTCAGCAAAAACGTACCGATCTATGTTTCATTAATAAAACCATAGATAAATCGTCCAGTGATCTAAAGACAGTTTTATCGACATTTGATTATAAGAAATGCATGGAAACTTTAGATAAACGTAAAACAACTAAATAAAATGAATGCAAAAATAAACATGTAAATAAATACCAAAAACTAACAACCAAATCAAATGTCCAACACCAATGTCAACGTACGAACGGAACGCAACCATTGACAATAGACGCGAGTAATAAACAACGTGCGGCCTACAACCTTTCAAAACAATCTCTTGACGACGCGACAATAAAAGTTTTGGCCAAAGGCATGAATTTCGCAATAACACCGCAAAAAATTCCGTATGAAAACATTATCTGTAGTGTTGAGGACTGTCTGTATAAAAATAATATTGGTAATGAAGATGTAGAGGCCATACGTCAAGACATTTCGTCCTTGTTACATCGAAGCTCAGCGCTGAAATTAAATCTTCCCAAAGATGAATTTATTGCACGGAAAAACTTACGCAACAGACCAGATCTTACGATTCTCCACGCAGATAAAGGTAATGCTACGGTTATAATGGATACGTCGGATTACAATTTTAAAATAGAACAACTTTTATCGGATGAAAGTACGTACGTAAAGGCCAAAACAGACCCTACAACTAATACGCTTAAAACAACTAGCGATTTAATAAAGAAATACTCCGAGGAATTGAATCTAGACGTCAATTCGAAAATACCTGCGTGTGCGAAACCACCGAAGTTGTATGGGTTACCAAAAATACACAAACCGAACGCTCCATTACGTCCAATAGTGAGTCAGATCGATTCGCCAACTTACAAATTAGCTCAACACCTAGCAAAAGTACTATCACCACTCAGAGGACACACAAGAGCACACACGAAGGATTCATACCATTTTGTCAGTGAGATAAAAGACCTATGTCTTACTGACAATGAAACTATGGTCAGTTTTGATGTTCAGTCTCTATTTACATGCCTACCTGTTGAAGACTGCATCTCAATTGTAACTAGTAAACTAGAGGAAAACAACATGCCAGCAGAATATGCAGTATTACTCAGACATTGCCTTACATCTGGCTATCTATTGTGGAAGGAACAGTTTTACAAGCAAGTACATGGTTTTGCGATGGGCTCACCGGTATCTCCCATTGTCGCCGATATTTTCATGGAGGACTTTGAGGAGAAAGCCCTGCTTACTGCACCAGTAACTCCAAGTTTCTACAAGCGGTACGTAGACGATACTTTCACAATTTTACCATCAGACAAAGTAACTGCATTTTTAGAACATCTTAATTCCATAAACTCTAAAATTCAATTTACTATGGAGTTAGAGGCAAATAATTCTTTAGCTTTCCTAGATGTGTTAGTCATTAGAAATCCTGATAATATCATAGGTCACACTGTGTATAGAAAAAAGACCCATACAAACCGATATTTAAACGGTGAATCTTACCATCACCCTTCACAGTTAGCTACCGTGGGCAAATCTTTGTTACAGAGAACACGAGGGATCTGTGACAGCAAACACCTAGCCGCCGAGCTTCAGCACGTCAAGCAGGTTCTGCACGACAACAAGCTTCGGGTTCCGCGCCTACGTCACAGTGACTGAGTGAAGCCGGCCACAGTCGAGCGTGTGCCTGCTGTACTACCGTATGTCAGAGGTGTCACAGACAAGATTGGCTACATCTTGAAGCGAGCTTATATTAGAACATTCTTCAAGCCGCCGAAGAAGATAAGTCAGTTCTTACCATCCGTCAAGTGCACTATTCCTCTACAAGATGCAGGAGTGTACAAGCTTGATTGTGAGTGTGGTCTCTCATATATAGGGCAAACAAAACGATCAATAAAAACCCGCGTAAAAGAACACATAGCTGACGTGAATCAACAATGTTCCGCGAAGTCTGCAGTTTGTGATCATATCCTAGACGGCCCCCGCCAGTACATTAGATTTGATAAACCACAAATTCTCGCGAAAGAACATCGATTCCTGCCAAGGATGATACGTGAGGCTATTGAAATTAAAAAACATCCTAATTTCAATAGAGAGGGAGGCTGGGTACTACCACCTGCTTGGGATCCTGTAATTCATAAAATTAAAACCAAACCCAAGCATACCACTGCAAGACTTCAAGACACAGTTAGTTCATTCTGCGTAGATCGGACCAAAATCATTAATTAAAAAAGCTGAAGGTACTCCGGTTTAACACTGACATCGGGACGTCAATCACCTCAGTCCCCCGTGACCACGGTTGCTGGAAAGCAACCGATACGTCGGGAATATAAAATAAGTTAATTAAACGCGATAAAATCCGTAAAAATAGTTTTATTCAATGTGTAGTGTTCGCGTAAATATAAGAAATCATTACCTCTTCTCTCTTTCACTGTCTCTTTAAGAATTCTCTACAAGGTACACGATTAAATAGAGATTTTGTGTAAATGTGATTAAAAAAAATGCGTGTAAAAAGATAATTAATGCCTGATACAAGGCGAAACTAGTTACTTCTTTCATCTTCTAGTATCGAGTAGCAGAATTGGGATCTTTCTAGAAATTTCCATGTAAGAACTTTCTAGAACTATCGACACCTACTCAGTCGGGACCAGTATGTACTCGAACATTATAGATGTTTTTACAGTAGATGGTTCTGGAATTGTCTGAGGCCCTATATAAGGTGGTTATAGACCGTGACTCGGGTAAGTGTTAAATTGGTGATACAAGCGAATAATTCGAAGCGATACAACTGCGAACTAAAGTGATCAGTAATACAATTGTGCTTTGCATGCGTGGGTGAATACGTCGAAGCGCTACAACTGCGAACTAATGTGATCAGTAGTTCAATTGTGTTTTGTTATTAGTGTGGTTTTAAGTTGTAACTAGCGTTCTGTAATCAAAGTATCAATTTTGGTAATTCACTCGGCAGTTTTTAATTGTCTCGAACCTAAAGCTCGTATCATTATGTTTTAAACGCCACTATGCTTGATTATTGTTTCGGTCTTTACAAATTACTTGCTTGTGTATAATTTTTGTTATAAAGTGATTATTTTAGCGCATTAAACAAAGAGTTAGGAAGAAGTTTATAAGTACTGCAACGTCGCCTTAACTTTATCACTTCTCAAGCGTTGAACCAAGACCGAATGATCTACATCACTGACACTCGCACATACAATTTAATATTCTATTCTATTAGTAAAGTTATTAGTGAATAAAAGGGTAAAATTATTAAGATGTTGAGGTATTTTCTGCTCCAATTGGTATCCACACAAACTATGCAAATCGGAAACAATGTCACATTTATCTTAGAAATTTCAATTATCTATTGCACATGGACAAATTATTTGTACGTCATACAAACACTTGTCCCATGGCAGATTCGAATTCGCGACTAGTAGTATTACCAGTTCTAGTGAATGCCATTTCGCGTATTCTTGAGAGTCGCGCCTACCATATCAACACACAAAATGTTTTGAGTGTTTATGATATAGTAGATATTAAGTATAAATATTTAACTAACTATATTGTATTTGTTTGCATTTTATTGTACCTTACTTCTTTATTTATTTATTGTATCTTATATCTTTTTTTTGTAGGATAGGGTAATAAACGAGCACACAGTCCACCTGATGATAAGTGGTTACTGTAACCCATAGACATCTACATCTATCTTCGTTTGCGAATCAAAATGCAGATGCGTCGTCATCCGTGAGGACTAAGATGGAATGCTTCTTTTCCATTAAAATGGGTTTCAAGTTCTCTACACTCACCATACGAAATACAGCAGTGTTAAGCTGTTATTTGACGCTGGTATTCTTGCATTACCATTGCCAAAATATGCATTTTGTGATAACCTTTAATTATCAAGTGACTTTTACGCAATATTTTGTAAGTTGTTAAGTTTCTGGCGTTTCTGTTTGTCCTTGATTTAATTTTTAATTCATAATACCGCCTATCAAAGTCCACTGCACAATAAAAGGCCTCCCCATATATGCCTCATAATAGGGTTTCTCACTATTCACAATCCCATATCGTCACGTAGGTGTGGCGACAGAGGGAAACAAACAAAGAGAAAGGCGACAGAGGGAAACAAACAAAAAGATCTTTTAAAAAAAAAATCATGAAAGTTTTGAAATGTTAATATACACGCACTAAAGTGGACACAAAAAGCATTAATTCAGCATTCTGATCACGTGTACTAACAAATCCACCTGGTGTGTGTCATTCAGCTGCCGCTGCATTGTAAAAAATTTCATTCTACGTTAATGAACCACAGCGCAAACAAGTCAATTGATCTTGCATGCGGAGCAAAATTTGATTCCGTTTTCATATGGAAACTTTTAAAAATCTTTTTTTTTTAAGTTTTTAAATTGTTTCTACTCAGAATTTTAGCCTTAATAAAGTAAAGTTTTCTGATGCCCTTATAGTTGCGGTGTAAGAATATCCACTACCCGATATCGTCCTGAGGGTGTCGTAAGAGGCGACAGGGGAAAATAAGCCAAGAGATGGCCAGCAGTGTCTTTCTAATAACAACTAAAAGATAAAAATTGCTTTTGCCAACTCGCGCAATTATCTCCCCATGGCATAATCTATTGGGGAGGCCTATATTCAGCAGTAGACTTTTGATGGGCTGAAACCATGACTGAAAAGTTTCAGCCTATTACGTCCTACTCCTCCATTCCTCCGGGTGCCTCCTTTCATTTATGAGATGGTTCGAGGGTTAGAAATTAAACACCACGCTAACTACCAATTCGTATTGGTGAACCTCACACGTCTTCGAAATATTTCTCATACGAGTATATACTATGTCTTCCTTCACTGCGGAGCAAGTAGTGAATCGGAACTTATAATTGCAATTAAGAATTTCATCGGTGCCGGTTGTTTATTTAAATGACCTAATACTCAAACGCTACTCAATTTTAAGATGTCGTAAGTCTCGTGGTGTCACAGGCACTTTGACTTAAGTCAAAGCCAGTGATAGAGCTTGGGTACTTGGACATAGGATTCATATTTCTTCTGCTTCAGGTCCTAGTTTTGAACAACGCAAATCTCTAAATATATAAAATGGAATTAAAAATTCGTCGCACAAATGATGAATTATAATTTAGAATATATTCTGTACATAAACAGAAAGTTGAATTTGTTTTTCTTAAATAAAATGAATAAGTACAAACTTATTCCTTTTATTTATAAATTAGTTGTGTGCTTTTGCATCATTTGTCTGTGATATTATTTGTTATAAGTTAAAATAATGTGTGATTTATATGTAGGTAATGGCAGCGTGAGAGAATCCCGTAAGAGACGTCGGGGGAAATGAAACAATTAAATATTAAAGAAAACAAATTAAATAGGTATTATATTAAAAATTGTGACATTAAAGGAAAGTATAGCGACAATACAGTTAATAGTTTTAAACCACGGTTTGAAAATCTTTTAGAATTTGTGGCCTCTACCCAGCTGTGGAACTGTCATAGATTGATACTCAACTTTTACATATAGAAATTATCTTGAATATAATCTATGCTGAATATAAAAATGTAAGTATATAGTCTTCTTTAGCTTCATGATCTCGTGTACAGATCATTATACATGGGCTTTTCCCGTTGTAAAATAGTCCATATTACTACATATTAACCTGAAAGTTGTAATAATAAATTAATATATATAATATTATAGCCATCAAATTAATGGTCCTTTAAAGATATAAATTTATTTTTATTTGTTAGATATTTTATTTAATTATAGCCGGCCTGGCAGCAATTGTATTTTCCGGTAGGTGGCGCAATGAGTTTCATTCCGAATTCATTCCGCTATTTTGACTACAGCGCCACCTGTCGGTTCAATATTTTGTGATATTCTTTTTTGGCAACATATATTGTGTACATTATGATTTGATAGCTTCGTTGGTCTAGTGGTCGTAAACGCGGTTGCTGGTGATGTGTTCCGGGTGCGAATTCCAGGTCGGGACAAAATCTGTTATTGAGATTTTCTGTCAAGAAATTCTCAGTAGCAGCCCGGAGTCAGGAAGTTGGCGGTGTCTCACCCCGTGCCTCGGAAAGCACTTAAAGCCCTTGGTCTTGCGTCTGATCTCTCCGGTCGTATCGGTTTACTGTCCCCGACTATGAAAGTAAGGAAATATGTTCTAGGTTCTTAGTTTCTCTTTAAAAAAACGTTACCCCCACACTAGGATTTTCTCCTGTATCGTGGAGGCAGTTTACAAACATACATTGCACAAGGACAAACATCGAAACCCGGAGCAATTATTTGTGGGCTATACAAATACTTGTTCCGCGCGGGATTCGAACCTGCGGCCCTCAGCGCTGGAACTCATGGCTAAGCCACTACGGTAAGGAGGAATAGGGAAGAGATAACGTGCATGAAGATTGTGCATACACTCGGGCACTATAATCCTGTCCTGCACTGATGACTACTCTCCGTTCGGACAGGCCGCCATGACAGAAATGCAGTCTGGAGGACATTGTTGTTATTTTGTTATAATGATTGTATTATGAGTCATTTTGTTCCATTAATTAGAATCTTTAGTTGCCTAAATTGCCGCTAATAACATATAATAACTAATAATAAAAACTGACTAACTCGTTCAGAAGTTACACGACCAC